ATTAAGCTTTCTTTACTTTCAGCCACAAGAATAATATCATCATTATATATGAGGTGACTTATTTTTCTCCAAGTTATTTTAATTCCAATTTCTATTTCATTCAGTATTAAATTTCTTATGATATTATGTTTTTGTTTCTTGATGCCTTGGAATTGGTGTTAACTCCAGGCAACTGTCTAGACAAGTCTCTGCAGTTTTCTTGGCAAAATTGTGGAAATGGTTTGCTGCTGCCTTCTTCCTAGGGTTGAGAGAGAATGACTGATCCAAAGTCACCCAGCTTGCTTGGTGCCCAGCAGGACTAGAACTCAGTCTTTCAATTTCTAGCTTGGTGCCTTCGCCACCACATCAGTGGCTCTCTTTGCATAGAAGGTAAATAGGGTAACAGTATACAAGGTGATTGGAGTATCCACCTTTTTAGATGCTGACCAGTGGTGGAATTCAGCCAGTTCGCACCTATTTGGGAGAACCGGTTGTTAACTTTCTAAGCAGTTCGGAGAACCGGTTGTCGGAAGAAATCTCATTTTGTTTTTCCCCACTTTACAAGGCTAATCCTGTAAGAAAGGCAGGAAGGAAACATTCTGGTGGTGTTTCTAGCCTAATCTTTATTGCCCTGCTTACAGAAACTGCCTCTCTGGTTAACCCTTGTTACATTCTAACAGCTAAGACGAAGCACCCATCGACATAAGTGATGTTGAGTTGGCCACGCCCACCCAGTCACATGACCACCAAGCCACACCTACCCAGTTGGTCATTAAGGCAGAGAACCGGTTGTTAAATTATTTGAATCCCACCACTGATGCTGACTTGTACGTCTGGTAGTTCTTGTTGCAGGTATTGTTAAACTCTGGATTGCAAACCTTGAACATTATCTTAACCAACTTGACGGGTAAGTGCAGTTGTTCAGTAATCTGAGCATTCTTTCTGCGCTTTTTTGGTATTAAAATAAGAATTACTCTTTTCCAGGCTCTTAACCACTGCTTTCCCTACCTGCCTACAAATTATAAATAGTGCTGTGATTGTATCATCCTGAGAGGTTTTAAGTTTGGTTGGTTTAAGAGCTTCTGCAGCTTTATTGTCAGCTATAAGTTCTAGAGCCCAATTAACTTTACAGTGATCAAACCTTTTTTCCCCTAGCAGTTCTTTGCCTTCTATATCTTTAATCATGTCCATCTTGCACAATGTTGGATTTGTATTCTGTAAATATCCTAAATAAATCTTTTTTCCTTCCATTTGTTGTTACTTCAGTTTCTTTACATTATTTATTTAGATGTATCTGTTTGTCTCTTAATCTTCTCCAGAACTCAGCTTTTAATTTAAATTCCTCTGTCTCTGATGTCTTTTGTTTCTTGCTGTATCAGCAAGCACCAATTCACCTTTGGTTGTTTGCATTTTGGGATATTTTTGTTTGCATCATCTTAATGATGTCATGAACTTTAATCCCAATTTACTCTGCTACTCCAGTTATCCAACCTAATCCATTAAATTTAATCTTCATAGTAACTTTATAATCATATGGAGCAGAGGTGGTATTCAGCAGGTTCTGAACAGGTTGTACCTTATTGGTCTGATGATTTTGGGTTTTTTAGCATAAGTTGTAATTTTCAAAAAGGAGTTTGCGAATTGAGCTTCAATCAGCATTAGGTCTTAATTTTGCTAATTAAAAGAACAAACATAAAACATGCTTATAATGGGAATTGATTTCCTTTATAATTTCTATCCCTAAGTGTGCGAGAGGAGTTGGTCCGGAAGAAAATTCCAAAGATCAATCATAACAGTCATTCAGTACCATTGTAACTTTAAATGTTTGCTAAATGAATGTTGTATGTTGAAGACTGTCTTTTTTGTTTGGAGAGTATATCATTAGTTTGATTTTGATGTTGCCAATCTGATGATGTCTACATGTAGTTTCTTTTAGATTGTTGAAATAAGGTACTACCCATTAAGTTTGAATTTTCTTGCCAGAATTTTTATTAATTTGATTCCTCCTTTCCAAGGTCAACTTTTCCATTATCCAACATATAATTGTTTATTTTCAAGTTATGCATTTTAGTCTTGTGTAATTTATGTATTGTTGTTTTTTGTGGGGAGGATATTTGTTATCAGAAACCTAGAGTTGGCTTGGTTTTTTTCTCCCTCAGTAAATCATATTTACTCTGATTCCTTACCTGCGATCTGCCTTTCGTGCTTAACCTTACTGGGAATCTATACTTTCAGTTATAGGTGTCATTGAGATCCTTCAGTAATAAAAGGCAGAATTGTAGATAAAGTTTTATTAAACTCATTGCTCCCTAAACTATCCGTAAAAATAATATGAATGCCCTAAATTACTTCCTTCAGGATATCATTATTGAAAAAGCCCTTTCATTATGTGAGAGAAATTTGATAATGGTCTCTAGTGGAGATCTTAGTGTCCTAATAGGAAAATGAGAAGGGACACTTCTTCAGATTACATGACTGAAAGCTATTTAGGTTTTATAGAGTAATACTACTTCAAATTAGACCTTGAAAAATGTCCTGACCAACAGTGCATATAGCAAAGCACTGATATATGATTATATCAGATGATACAAGTCGACTCTGGTTTGAACTCATTGAAGTTTCCGAATAATTTTCAAAGGAGACTCCATGTGCAGTGTATTTTTATAATTCAGCCGGAAAATTACTGGACCATGAAAAGACTGTTGCAAGGTTATCTCTGTGCAAATATGGTCAAAGCAGATATAGCAGCCTGAGCCCCTTAGATTTTTAGTGGCGGTCATAGATCCCGATGTAATCATTAATCATTTAGATTAATATGCAAGTAGTCCTTGACTTACAATAGTTCATATAATGACTGTTCAAAGTTACAATGGTAATGAAAAAAGTGACTTATGACTGTTTTTCACACTTAACGACTATTGTAGCATCCCCATGGTCATAGGATCAAAATTCAGATGTTTAGCAACTGGTTCAGATTTATGACAATTGCATGTCCAGGGGTCATGTGATCAGCTTTTGTGACCTTCTAACAAGCAAAGTCAGTGATTCCCTTAACAACTAGGCAAGAATAGTTGTAAAATGAGGCAAAACTCACTTAACAAATGTTTTCCTTAACAATATAAATTTTGGGCTCAATTGTGGTCGTAACTCAAGGACTACCTATATTCAATATTAATCTAATATTCTGTGCAGCTTCCTCTATAATAGAGTTGATATATTTTAAATGAGAAGATCTCTCTCACAGACATACCACAGTATATTTGCCTTTAAATCATAGTTTGTTAATACTCAACCAATTAATTATCAATATTAAAAGTATCTGCAAGATCTGTCACCATCATCAAAATAATGAAAGCAGATCTAATGGCATGTGTAGATGATCTTGGGGAGTCAGGGGAAGTGATGTTTCCTAGGAAACAATCAGCCAAGAGAGGGAGGAGCCCTCTCTGACTGACCACTGGCTCAGTGGTCAGAGGAAGAAACTTAGGAAGGAACTGCTCTAATTGATCGGGTGGTTAAAAGTGATGGCAGGAGGTTTGTACCTTCAGAAATGCAATATTATATTAATATAGTCTTACAATAAAGTAGAATGAGCTCATCTGTCGAGTTTAGCTGGGAGGGCTTATATCAACTCTTAAGGCTCATGCAACTCTTAAGTGTACAAATCTCCCACTGCCATTTTTACCACTTGGTCAATTAGAGCATTTCCTTCCTAAGTTTCTTCTTTGAATACCATTGTCTTATAACCATGTAGACTTGTAGCAGGATACATAATTCTGCTAGCCAGAGACAAGGCAAGTAGATCAGTGAGCTTTGTAGTAATATGATGGATAAGTGTACAGATGGAAGACAGAACAATTTGGGGGAAAATTACAGCTCTGCTTTCTGTTGTGCCAAAAATAAAGATGAAAGAGAAAGAATTTTAAAAACTGGTGGTAGTATGAATTACAGAAAGTAGAAGAGATTCTGGCTGTGTAGTTAGAACACAAAGTATAAGTCGCTCGTATGTTCCTCTTCTCATGCTCTGTGTAGAAAAGGGTAAAAGCAATGGAAAAATATGAAACAATTACAAATAAAAGGCAGTTTTTTTTCAAATCTTGGCAATTGCATAATTAAATGAGATTGAATGACTGTATAAAAGAAGAATGGTTTCTGTTTAGTTTTGCTTAGTTATAAAATGATCTTTGTATAACTATGAACAATGCAGTTTTCCTCATTAGGTAATTGTTTCATTGTTATTCGTTTTAAAGCTCTTTTGCATCTGATATACTTTGGACTTACTGGAATAGTGAAATATGTCTTGTTTGTAATAAATGATGCCAGAGGTCATAGAATCTATATTTTTTCCCCTAACCATCAGTATTTTGGGCTGTATTCTGTCAAGTTAGATTGCTTATGATTGTACAGTATATTGTAAAATTGTTCCATTAAATATAATGGTTGATGAAATTTGCTTTGTGGTCAAAGGTTTTCTGTGTTTAAAATAAATGGAAATCTTAAAATAAATGGAAATCTTTGCTAGAGAAATGCATTGGGATTTGATACATGAATACCATATACAAAATTAATTGTATTTATCCATTATTTCAACAAATACAATTTGGGCAGAATGAAACTTTTCTAACACTGAGTAATGTTTCATGTAAAATTTCCTCCTTACCTCTCAAATGTTGTTAAAGCAAATTTGCAAAGTGAATTTTAAAATCAAATCTAAATCCCAAGCAAATTCACACTGAACAGAAGATTATATAGATATAGATATAGATATAGATATAGATATAGATATAGATATAGATATAGATATAGATATATAAAATTAATGGGTTTATGCTGATGGTCTTCTTCCAAGCTACAAGAGGTTTTTTTTATTCATATTAAAAGTTCACGTCTTAACTGCAGAACTGTTTTCTATAGACTTCTTGTCTTTTAATTTTATATATGAATAATTTCCACATAACTAAGTTTATGTTTAACTCATCTTGAACTAATTTTGTATTTAAACACTTTTTTTTTCTATGCAGGCCCAGAATGTTCTTCATCAGGATGGTTTTCGGGTACTGATTCTCTGTGGCAAGCCACGGCAGGTCCAGCCAGCCGTCAAAGTATTCATATCAGAAGACACAGCATAGCTTCTGACAGTGGAGACACAGGTGTTGGAACTTCCTGTTCTGATAGTGTGGAAGGTCAGTAGCTATGCTTAAACCAAAGTACGTCTGGTAGAAAATCGGGAATAATTGTTGTTTCAATAATTAAAAAGCCGAGAAAGATACAGAGACTAAGGGAGCCTGTCTAAAGACTAAAAGATGCAATATGATCTTAAGGATGATTTACTTGGGAATTGAAACCCATTCTGTTTTTTAAATTTAAGTTTAGATTTAAATAAATAAATAAAGGTTTGCATTCATTCTTTTGTTTTCATTCTATTTTAAAAAAGTGATTATAAAAAATATAATTTGAGAATACACACACACACAAATGAAATTTTACGTAGAATGCATATATTTTATTATTGTTTACATGTTTTCCTACTTAGTTTTTCCCTAAGTGTTACCTTTAAATTACTCTAAGGAAATATCTCCATATAATATTGATAAGTGTTCTGCAAAACAGTATAATATATCATGACTAACAATTTCAATGGTGTAAATTTACTTAACTTTCTAAAGGAGCATTACAATATTTTGTAGCTGTAAGAGTAATTAAAATTAATTAACAGAATTAAATGGAAAATAAAGGGGGAAACATATACCTTGCGAATAATATAAAATGCATCTTATTTAGTCAAAGCGTATGCATTTGTGTGTCCATATACATAGGAACAGAAAAGAGGCAAAGACTTTAACGCATTCATTATATATTACATATTCAAACTAATGAAGTTTTAGGAGAAAAAAGGTGATATGCTTTATAAAACTTCTATTAACAAACTGAGAAATAAAAACTATATGAATATTCAATGATGATGGGAAATCAGCCAGAAGGAGGGGTGGGCAGCTGGGGTTCACACGGGTTCGGGTGATCCTCTAGCTAGGATTCTGCCCAATTTGGCAAACCTCAAAATGCCACCCCTGGCTGGCACCGCCCCCCACCCCTCCCAGGAGTCTCCATGCAGCCTGTTTATCATGCCAGGTAAGTGCAGGGCCTGCAAGGAGGCTCATGGAGGGGGGGAAATGGGCCTATTCAAGGTTCCAGAAGTCCAGAAACGGGCCTGTTTCCATCCTCTGGAGAGCCTTCAAAGCCTGGGGGAAGCAGTTTTTCCCCTCCTGGTGGCGCAAGGAAAGCTTGGGGAGGGCTGACTAAAACACCCCCTGCCATGGTGCAAGGGGCTGACTAGGCCATGCCAACCCAACAACACGGCAGTGAACCTGTTGCTGCAATTTTTGAAGCTCACCCCTGGCCAGAAATAATAAATCAGTTTTGGTTCTGAATTAAGAAAAAAACACTAAAACATTGCTGTACAGGCTTCAATCCTGGAGATTTTTCATAGAAAACCAACTGTAGTTGTAACATAGGAACTGAATATTTACTGGCATCTGGGCCTCAGCTACGCCATTTATCGCAACACTAGATAGTGACATCTTTAAAGATTTGCTGACTGCTGTTTTAGGACCCATATGGCAATATGCTGACTCTGTAAACCACTTAGAGAGGGCTGTAAAAGCACTATGAAGCGGTATATAAGTCTGCTATTGCTATTGCTATTAATGGTAAAATGGAAATGGGACCATACAGACTGCTGTGATATAGTTAATCTTGTTCCTTGTTGGTTTGATCTTCAAAAAAACAGTGAAGAGAGAATTATTGCAAAATAATATTTGATGGCTTGGTTTATCATATTGATTGAGAAGTTTCATTAATTATTAGTTATGGCTGTTTTTGCATTGTTACTGGAAGAATGCTTTCCCCCTCTTCTCTCCCTTACCTTTCATAAGCATGTTCTATTACTTTAGATTGCATGTACCTTCATCATCTTAGCAGTTTTCCTATACATACAGGATCCACTATTTATATTGCATGTATCATTTCGTTTTAATGTATTGTATTGTTATATAATTTTTTTGCTTTTATTATAAAGTGCTTTAAAATATTTTGGCATAGAAAACTATATACAAAAGTTGCATGTAGCACAAGCATGATAGTAACTTAGTCTACACCTGCTCTATTTTAATACTGTCTGTGAAAGAATTGAAGGAGATGAAACCTAAGTTAAGAGATACTTAGGGTCGACTAAGAACAAACTCACCTGAATCCAGGTTAAAGCCACTCTTGAGACCCACTTTATAAGAGTAAGGGCAGCAAAGAGTCACTTCACCCTTACTGTGTCTGGATAGCCACTTGGTGGCCTTCTTGGGTAGAGGAGACTCAGAGATACACCTAAAGGGGCACATAGAGATTTTGCAGACTACCTGTTGGACAAATTTGTTCAAATTCATTCCCAGTTAACCCTGTAGAGGTGTTAGAAATGCAGTTTAACCATATTATCTAGGAAGAGTTTGAATCTATTGGACCTGGGGAAGTAGACAGAGTTCGCATGATCATCTGCTTATTAGAACTGTGCCTCTCCTCTGTAATGAAAGCTTCCCAGCTGTCTATCTCTACCCTAGTGAAGTAAGCAGTGCTATTAACTTTCTGTCTCTGTGCCCAGAGGTCAGGTCAGTCAAGAAACCATAAGTCCTAACATTACCTTTATTATACACTTTCAGTAACAGAATCTTGTGAGAATGAAAGCATTTATTCCACTGCCTTTACTTTTCAGAGAAGTAGGGTGGGTCCTTTCTGAGACACTTTCTTCATCTCCATCTCTCTTTTGGACTCGGGAGTCTCCTGTCAGGACTTTGTCTAGGTCCGGGATGGCAAACCTGTGGCACGCTTGCCACAGGTGGCACATAGAGCCATTTGTCAGGCATGCGAGGCGTTGCCCTATCAGCTCGCCGGCGTGCATGTGCGTGCTGTCCAGCTTAGTTCAGCCTTTTCTAAAGCCATTTTTCACCCTCCCCAGGCTCCAGAGGGTTTATAGGAGCCTTGGGAGGGCGAAAACAGCCTACCCCACCCCCGAGGCCCTCCGGAGGCTCCAGGAGCTTCCCTGAAGCCTTCGGAGCACAAAAAATGAGCCTCTGGAAAGCCCCCGAAGGCTCTGGAGGTCTTAAACCAGCCCTACGAGCAAACCAGGTCCATTCCTGAACTTCTGGTTTGCCCGTAGGGTTGGTTTTTGGCACTCCAGAGGCTTCAGGGAAGCTCCTGAAGCCTCCGGAGGGTCTCCAGGAGCGTGACCCGTCAAAAGCGGGAGGACAAAATCGCGCTCGACGAAAGCGCGCATGTGATGTCATCACAGCGCGACGAAAAAAATTAAAAATTGAAATAAAATTAAAATTAAAGCAAGCCGATTCACATAAAGGTAAGGGTTAGGTTAAGGGTTAGGGTTAGGGTTAGGTTAAGGGTTAGGGTCAGGTTTAGAGCGTTAGAGTTAGGTTTAGCGTTAGGTTAAGGGTTAGCGTTAGGTTTTTCGTTACGTTAACGGTTAGGTTTAGGGTTAGATTTAGGGTTAGGGTTAGGTTTGGGGGGGTTAGGGGAAGGTTTTAGCTTTATTTTTACATTTTTCGATCACAGCGCGATGTTTTCGTCGCGCTGTGATGACGTCAAATGCGCACTTTCATCGAGCGCGATTTTGTCCTCCGCGATTTTGTGGTGGAACCCTCTAGGAGGCGGGGGGAGACTGTTTTCTCCTATAAAGCCTCTGGAGCATGGGGAGGGCAAAAAAGCATGCAAAAAATGGGAGGAGCGCCTGTCATGTGCGCATGCACGCGGGGTGTGTGTGTCACACATTGCATTACGTGTGCGGCACGCCACTCACGACCCCCCTACGCTCCCCCCACTTATGGCACGCAAGCCAAAAAAGGTTCACCATCGCTGGTCTAGGTTGTAGCTTTTTCTCCTGTCTCCCAAGATTAATGTACATGAAAAATATTAATGCTGCTGGTATAGATGGTATAATTTGAAATGTAATTAAGCTGTAGGTGTGATTTCCTTATGAGATCACACCTACACCTTTAGTTTTTCAGTGTTCTACACTCTCTAGCTAAAAAAATTGATTATTAGTAATATTCTCCTGTAGCTTTCATGGGCTGTAGTCAGTCTTGTCAGACTATGTAACACTACCTCTTTCTGTACTGGGCGTGATTTTATTAAACATTCATGAATTTAAAAAAAACAAGGTAAGAAACTATTTTCATGGTATTTATAAATTTTTGATACGTCTGCAATGTTGAAGATTTACGGCTTTCCCTTCTAATGAATATTCACTTTTTTCAAGATTTTAGGCTGACAATTATTACAGCTGTAAAATCAGTTTTTAAAAGGCTACAAATAGTTACCATAAAAATGCTTCAACATTATTTGTTGAGATGCCAATAAACATTAAAAAATTTATACTTGTCTGTAAAGGATTGCCTTATTAAACAGGAAGACAATCGATTTTAAGACTATCTTAGGTCTAATTGAAGAAGAGGGTGTAAAGTCAATGCTGTATCCTCAGTTTCCTTAAAGTATATATGGTACAGTGGTAGTGGTTTGGCGGCCTAGGTCGCTGGAACTGACAGCAACCCAGGCCTGCCACACCCCTGAACTGATTGCCCGAGTGGCGCCATCTTGTTTTTTGTTTCTGCGCATGCACAGAGCAATTTTTATTGCTCTGTGCATGTATGTGCAGCGCATCCACGAGCAAACTGGCAGTAGAGACTGCCGGAACCCACCCCTGATATGGTAGTGAGTTTTTATTAAATCTTGCTTCCCAACATTTTGCAATTATAGCATATTTCAAGAGAGCCTGGGAAGGATATAGTATAATTTATCCCTTCTCCTGCTTCTAAATTGATTTTAACAAATTTAAATCTGTTTTATGGTTGTTGCCCATTTCAAAAGTAACCTCAGAATGTTTTCTGTTTCCTGATTGTTTTTGCCAAACAATTAGTATCTATTTTAATAAGACTCTCCCCCTCCTTTTTCCCCTAAATGCCTGCATTTCTTGTTCTAGAACAAGAAAGTATCAAAATAATTGCCAAAAGATAAGCAATTGTGGGCACTATGGTAAATGCCTCAGCTAAACAGATTGTTTTTTTCTTTCAAAAATATTATGTTGCTTGAAAATAAACTGAAGTGCAAAACAATGTTCAGTGCTCTTAAATAT